TAAAAAATCTAAAATATAATTAGAATAATTATCGAGTTCCAACAAAATAAATAATTATTATCTTTATAAAAAAAATATTATTAAATCAAATATAAATCACTTCGTTATTGTACATAAATTAAATTATAAAAAAAAATTGAATTAAAAAATTACACATAAAAATGATAAAATTTCAAATAGTTAATTTGATACTAATATCGATATATTTTTGTCAAATTTTTTTGATATCTTCGAACATATATGTTATTCAAAAATAAAAACATCATCGCTTTTTCAAAATCACATAAAGTCATATTATAACATCGACTGAGATAAATAATAAAATGAAATATTAAAATTACGATGTATCTCTCTGCATTGCACGAATACGCTTCTAATTTATATATAAACACTCGGGAGAGGATGAAGTTGGAACCCAAAAAATAAACTTCAACCTTCATTGGCTCTTTCTATAAACTTAATGATGTTTTAATTTTCACTTGTATGATTACAAAACTCATTCATATCCATACCCTTTTATTCATTCACAACACAATCTATTCTAATACAAACTTATTAAATAATAAAAAACTTTCATATCTGCGATTTGTGCTTGGACTTCATGGGCTCCCAAGTTTATAATCCAACACCCCCTTTAAACTTGTTTTACCAAGTCTCAGCAAACTTTTTAGTTTTGCAAAATCTTCAAACTTGAGCGGCTTAATTGGTAAAGATATTTGCAATTTGATCTTAAGAAACTGGATTCTCCGCTATCGCAATAGTTGACTTGTTGTCGACGCAAATCTTTGTCGGCTCTTCTTGAATCAAACTTATCTTCTTTAACAAATTCCCGACCCAAATTGCATGACATACACATGAAGTGGCAGCTACATATTCGACCTTACTAGTAGAGTGTGTGACGATTGTTTGCTTCTTTGATACTCATGTAAAAGTCGTGTCTCCCATGAAAAACACAAACTCATACGTGATTTTTCGATCATTTACATCTCACACACCAACTGCTGTAGCTATAACCAACAAGCTTGTAACTATCTAAAGTCGAATAAAATAAGCCAAAATCAAACGTACATTTAAGATACCGAAGAATTTTCTTGGCAACCTGGAAATTTATAGTTGTTGTTGACTCCATAATAGCGCCTGGCGAGTCCAACAACATACATGATGTCTAGCCTTGTACAAATTAAGTATCGCAAACTTCCGACCAGGCTCTTGAAATGGGTTGGATCCACTTTTTCTACTCCCTTGTGATTGGACAACTTTATGGAGTACTTATCGACTACAATTCTCCATTTTGAACTTCTAAAGTATCTCAAGTGCATAGTTTCTTTAAGAGATAGATATACCGTTCTCGTTCTATTTAACTTCAAAACCCAAATCCCAAGATAGTAAGTCGTTAACTCGATGTCAGTCATCACGAAATCCTTAGTCATTGTATTCTTGAGTTCTTCAAACAAGCTTGGATTACTCCCTGTGGAAATTAAATCATCCACGCATAAACAAACAATTAAAATTCTCCATCTTTGACCTTCATGTAAAGGGCATGTTCATAAGGGTATTTAGTAAAACCCTTCTCTTGAAAGTATACATCAATACGACTATTCCATGCTCTTGGTGCCTGCTTTAAGTCGTATAGAGTCTTCTTCAACTTTAAGACTTTATCTTTACGTCTATTGACTTTAAAACCCAATGGTTGTTGAATATGAATTTCTTCTTCAAATATCTTGTTTAGAAACATGGACTTCACATCCATCTGATGGATCTTCCAATGGTTTTGAGAATCCATTGAAATAATAGCTCTAATTGTCTCAAGTCGAGCAACAGGAGCAAATACTTCATCATAATCGATTTCGGCTATTTGACTATAGCCTTTTGCAACTAGTCCTGCTTTGTATATTTCAGTTTCTCCTTTTGCATTCTCCTTTGCCCTCTAAGCCCACTTGACACCAATTGCTTTATGCCCCTCTAAAAGTGAAGCTAATTCCCAAGTCTCGTTTTTCACAATGGATCTTTTTCTTCATCATTGCTCATATCTAATTCTCCTCTTTTTCTGCTTCTTCCAAAGTTACTAGTTCACAATCAATATACAAGCATAAAAATGTGACATCATCTATTGGCTCCATAGCTTCATAGGCTTTTGATGTTGGTGAAACAGGTGAAGTAACATGTTCTTGTGGGATATCTTACGATTGCTCAGTTGGTGCCTCCTTTGTTGGAAATTCGGGTATTGCTTAAAACCGTTTTTTGAACAAAGAACATAATATAGTGGAATTTTTATGTAAAACGATTTCCAAAAACCATGATCCAATTGAGGTGAATAGAATCACAAAAAAAAAAACTAGAATATCAAGATTCGATTTTTACCTTTTAAATCAAGGAGAATTTGGTGTAGAATCAAGTGTTCAAGCTATAGTACCTCTACAGGTATCCAATGCATGGACATGAGCAACACTTCTAAAAACTCTAAGATGATAAATACTTGGCTTCCTTTCGCTCCATGCTTCTTGTGGTGTCATTCCCCAAACACTTATTGTTGGAGAACGACTTGAAAGATAAACTGCACATGTCACTGCCTCGACCAAAATTCTTTTAGCAACTTCTTGCTTTTGAGTATGCGTCTTGTCGTATCGAGGATCGGTTCTATTCTTGTTTTCGACAACACCGTTTTGTTGGGGGGTCTTGGAACTGTCAAAGGTCGATGAATTCAATTTTCTTCATAAAACTCCTGAAACTCCTTTGAAGTGAGCTCTTATCCTCAATTGGATCTAATTGTCATAATCTTGCAGTCACTTCCTTTTTCCACAATGGCTTAGAACTTCTTGACACTTGGAAGACTTCTGGTTTTCTTTTTGAGAAAGACACCCAAGTTTTTCTTGAATAATCATCAATAAACAAGAGAAAATTATTAATTTTACCGAGAGGGTGTAGCTTAATTGGACCACAAAATCCCGTATGAATAAGCTCAACTGGCTTCTTTGCTCTTGACTTCATCTCCTTTGGAAAGCTTTTTTTGAATTATTTCCCAAGTAAACACCCTTCATATAGTTGTTCGGGTTGGTTGAGAGTGTTAGCCCCTTCACCATTACCTTATCGGACAATAGCTCCAAACCTCCAAAATTGAGACGTCCGGATCTAAGATGCCATAACCATGATGGATCTTTATAACAAGTGATAGGTGTTAACTTATTAACTCAATTACATTGTTTTATTGTCATTTCCCTTTATTTTATTTGCCCATGAGTGTAAAATTG